GTCTCTTGTGATGAGCCGAAGGACAGAGAATGGAAGTAGTGATCTTCCTCCCATATTTGGGCATACCGGGGGTTGTGACACTAAGAAACGTCTGCCTATAGCCATACTTCGAATCTTCTTGAAGCATGACTAGGCAATGCATATTCCTGAGACCGGTCCTAATCTTTTGCAATTTTGGCATTAAATAACATGGAATCCAAATCAATATAGAGGGGGTGTTTGTGTATTAGTTAAGGTGTTAATATTTGACTTAGCAAGTTCCCAGCTTGACTCTGAAAATTGTTAGATGATTATGGGCCAACTACCATGCCACAGCTAAGTCTAGTTCATAGGATTGTTTTTGCAGGGACATCATAATAAGAGACCCCTCTGGATACTAATTTGAGCTTCCAGAGGGGAAAAAAGTGTGTGTGTGTGTGGGGGGCACAAATATAAAATACCAATACATTTTAATTTTCCTTTAAAATAAACTAGTGAGATGGTAGACAGTTATTCAATGAGCTGGAAAAAGGCTTTTGTCAGTATACTTAGTCAGAGATATAAAAATTACAGTCATGGTTCTGGTGCAAAAAAAAGTTTCCCAAAAACAAAAACACACCCTTACTGACAGATAACTGCTACTTAATTTGACAAATGACTTCCCTTAATTGTAATATAGTACTTTTAAAATGTCCTATAGTGCCCTCTGCTGACAAGATTGCAAAAATTCCTCAATGGGAAAAATTGCAAAGAGGTGCTGATTTAATAAGTGCAGACATGATTAGAGAATCAGAATATAACAAAAAAAAGGGGAACCACCAACTTTTTATTTTCATTTCTTCATTGCTTGTATGCCAATATTTCCAGTTTACTGGTTAGTTGATGTCTATTCAGTAGCATGACTTGTATATCCAGAACTAGGTAACCTAAGGGAAGGGAAGATGACCCCTCATTTGGGCAACACACAGACTTACAGCTTGTATCATGTTGCTTGATCAATCCACCTTGAAATGTGATGGAGCAGCACTAAACATTTTTTTGTTCTCACATTGTTAATGTAGTGGAATCATCTTAGCTGTGTGAAAAAGCACTATTTTCAGGAAGAAGAAAAGAGATATAAGTATGCAACTTTACATTTGGAGTTGAAGAAAAAAAAGCAGGCCAATATTATGCAATCAAGGGAGGGACCTTGAGGTTGTCAAGACAATCTTGTCCTGATATAAATGGAAGATGAAAGAAGGATATTAAACTCTAATCCTACTTATTAATTACAGACTTTGGGGAAGAAATAAAAACCCCAACATAAATTTTGCTATTCCCACTCCAACCCCTTGTTTCAAGTTTTGTTGTTTAATGTCCAGGATGATTCATTTGTAGAATGGTAAAGCTTTTGCTTGACTAAATTCCATTTTAGTTGTGACTTAAAAACAATAAATTCTAAAGTAAATATATTATTGATAAATTGGAATGGGTTCAGAATTGTGCAATAGAGCAGGACTGGTTAAAAAAAAGTGATATGAACTCAGTCAATCTCTTCTTGTTCCTACAAGGTTGACCTTTGGTTTTTGACTTGTACACAGAACTGGATTGCTATCTCCTGCTCTGGAGGAGGGGGGAGATAAAATTCAGCCATCTTTATTCATCATCTATGCCAGTGTTTCTCAAACTTGGCAGCTTGAATGTGTGGGGATCTCAACTCCCAGAATTCCTAGTTGCTGCAGAATTGTGGGAACTTTGCATCTTCAAGTTGCCAATATTGAGAAACACTTGTCTATATCTTTTGGAGCACACCATCTAAGTAGAGACATTTCTATAGAAATCCATCTGGAGAGGCCTATCTGGAGAAAATATTGAATGAAGAATCAAAGGAACATCTATACAAATCATAAATGCTATTAAGGTAAAGGTTCCCCTTGCACATATGTGCTAGTTGTTCCTGATTCTAGGGGGCCGTGTTCATCTCAATTTCAAAGCCGAAGAGCCAGCACTGTCCGAAGATGTCTCTGGTCATGTGGCTGGCATGACTAAATGCTGAAGGTGCACAGAATGCTGTTAACGTCCCACCAAATGTGGTTCATATTTTTCTACTTGCATTTTTACATGCTTTCAAACTGCTAGGTTGGCAGAAGCTGGGACAAGTAATGGGAGCTCACCCCACTAGGGATTCGAACCACCAAACTGCCACCTTTCTGATCGACAAGCTCAGCGACAAGCTTAACCACTGAGCAACCAAGTCTCATTTTACCTTTACCTTAAATGCTATTATAATATACCAAATTGCTTTTTTCAAAGAAAACTAAAAAAGCAGGTGATTGATGATCTGATCACTTTTATTCTTTGAAACAAAATTTATGCTGAAATCAGGCCAGTATTTTCTGCCATACCAATTCAGATGATGTAAACCTGTCCTTGGTTTTCTGTGATCTGATTTCATCCATTGTTTTAAGCCATGATAAGGTTCATCTGAATTGGCTTAATATGTCATGTGAACCCAGCCATTGAAGAATACAAGGGTATCTCTTCAGGCATATTCTGCAAAATTATGATATTTAAAACAATGGCTTCTTATTACTCCTGATTAATTACCTCAATCAAGAAAACATTTAGAAACAAAACAGATCAAACCCCAGTAAGTTAATTCTAGCAACAATAAATATGATGCCTGAATGTAACATATTTTATTTTATTTTTTTATAAATCCTTGCCTAAAAATCACTAGTGAGCAGAAGAATTACAGATGTTAAAATGCCACTAAAAATTTCTGGGCCAATCTGACAATTCTGCAAGAACTCTGTGAACCTGGAAGTTGGACAAGTTTATGTTGGTGCAAATGGTAAAATATTGTGCAGTGATTAAGGTGTTAGACAAGTAAGTTCACTGTGTAAATTCCTTTCTCAGTATTTTCTAGCTCAACCTAACACAAGGTAGATTTGGTAAGGACAAATCTCTATAAAATATGATGATTTGAATATGTGCTCTTTGTAAGCTTCAGGACTGGCGAGATTGCCATGCTTATGTCATTCCATGTAGTTGCACATTGTCAATGCTAGCCAGGGGAGAAATCCACTTACCTTTGCTACAGGTTTGGTACCAATGTGAGCAGTTTAGTACCTCCCGCGCATGTGCAGAGCGTCAAAAAGGTAAAATAAGCATAGAGGAGGGGGAATCTGCTGTGCTGTGTGATTTATATTACTAGTATAAATCACACCGCACAGCTGTCGGAAAAAGCAGGTTCGCCAAAAACAGTTTCATTTATTTTACTACCAGTTTGAGTGAACCAGTAGCATTTTTACTATTGGTTCGGGTGAACTGGTAGCATTTCACCCCTGATGCTAACCCTATCTATCTTCTGTAGCCTGAACTAATTTTGCAAGATGCTAAAACTGAAACGTAAATAGTCATGGAGAATTAAGGAGTTGGTTAAATTTTGGAACTGAAATAAGACCTATAGCAAAATAAGCATTTGGAGTCTACCCTATTTAGTTATCAGAAGATATTATACAGTATATTGCTGGATTTGAAGATTCAAAGTGCAAGAGAAGTGTTAAGCTGATGTCTTTAACACTATCCTTGCCTACATCAAAAGACTATTTATTACTAAAGAGCCTCTTCAAGGCAGCCTTTACATCCTTATTCCTCAAAGTGTATATAAGGGGATTGCAAAGGGGAATGATGACTGTGTAGAGCAGAGAAAGTATCTTGTCAATTTTAATAGAATCTGTCGTTTGGGGATGTAGGTATACCAACATTCCTGAGCCATAAAAAAGACTGACCACAATCACATGAGATGAACAAGTGGAAAAAGCCTTCTGACGCCCCATGGCTGATGGCATGTGTAATATAGTCCTAGTGATATAGAAGTAGGAGGTTAAGATGACAACAAGAGGAGCCAGAGCAAATATAACATTCTCCATATATACTACCAACTCATTGGTGGAGACATCAGCACATGCTAGACTGAGGACTGCTGGCATGTCACAGAAGAAGTGGTCCATTTCATTGGGGCCACAAAAGGGGAGGGAGAAAATGAGTCCAATTTGTACCAACTGCATTGGGAGGCTGAGAACAAAAGAACCAGACACCAGTCCTATGAGCATCCTTTGATTCATTATGATCATATAGCGCAGGGGCAGGCAAATAGCAACATAGCGATCGTAGGCCATGGCAGTTAGTAAGAAACACTCAGCACCACCCAGAAACAGCATGAAGAACATCTGGGAGGCACAAGCTTCCAAAGAAATGGAGTGGTCTCCGGTGGCCAGGCTGGCTATCATTTTGGGAAGAGTGACTGAAGTGTAACAAACTTCAAGTCCTGATAAACTTCTTAGAAAAAAATACATAGGTGTATGGAGGGCAGAATCCTTTGTTGTCACAACCACAACGAGACCATTGCCTAGAATGACACTCAGATAGATAGCAAGAAAGGCAGCAAAGAAGAGCAGAGGGTGTTCACGGAATCCCAGTAAGACAAACTCATTCACAGCACTCTTGTTCTCCCAGTTTCTGGCCAGTTCAGCATTCATCTAGAAAAAAGGGAAGTGAAAAGGATGGACTTCAGGGAGTGCGATGACTTCTGTAATTACAAAATCAAAACTCTGTAAACTATCCTTCCAAAAACTAGTATGTTCAGTTTTGTCAGACTGAAATTCTCAACATTTATCTCACCACTGTGGTGTTAATACATTCTTAGAGTTTAAGTCCAGCAAATTGCGAAATACACATCTTGATCCCTTCACTCATCCAAGATATTTTTGTAGGAAACGTACCGTACCTTTATTATTTTTTACAAACAACACAAGGTAGTGAACATATCCAACACATCTTCGTCGTCCTATTTTCCCCATCAATATCAAATGTCGCTAAAGATGAGACAGTCAACCATTTGATCAGTGGGTGCAGCAAAATTTCACAAACTAACTACCTACAATGCCACGACCGAGTTGCTAAGATCATTCACTGGAAATTGTGCCAGAAGTTTGGATTTGAATACAGCAAAAACTACTGGGAACATCAGTAGTTCCCAGTAGTTTTTGAGAAGGTTCTAGAGAATGAAAAAGTCAAGATCTTGTGGGATTTCTGAATTCAGACTGACAGGCACTTGGCCTACATCTGACATAACAATACTTGAAAAGAAAAAAGTATGGTTCATTGACATTGCAATACCTGGAGATGCACGAATTGAAGATAAACAGCAAGAAAAAATCTAAAAAATGCCACCG